TACGTTCGTCCTTCAGCTGGTTGAACCAGAACAGCCTTGGTTCTATGTTTCCTCCGAGTTGTCCTATGATGGTTGTTTCTGTGCTTAGCACTATCATTTGTATCGATTTTTTCGGTTTTCGGTTTCTCGGTTTCCTCCAAGGTTTCTTTCGGATCTCGGGCTCCTTTCTTCTTCGAACTTTTTCGAACCACTTTCGTCCAGTTATTTTCTACAGCCGATTTTTTAGGCGGATGCGTTTCCGCGTCAGAGGTGGGACTAAGTGAAGATAGCAACCTTTTGTTTGTGTTTTGCTCCTGGTCTTAGGAATTGGCGTCTGAGTTACACCCGTTTAATAGTTTCTCGGGAGAGGTCTGTGTAGTTTGCACTGTCATTGCGAGAGCTTTGGGGGTTGCCGTATATTCTTTCAATGCCAGGCTATATGCTGTATCAATCGGACCTGAATATGTGTGTGTGTATGTGTGTGTGTGTATGTAAGTGTGTGTATGTATGTGCGGATACAAATTTTCGTCGACGATTTCGGGAACACGGATCAACCGATTTGAATAATTCAAAGAACATTCGATTCGTATTGATAAGGAGACGTGCTGATTAGTTTTTGGCGAAGGCAGGTCTAGCCGTTCCGAAGATACGGGGCAAAAAGTGCCGAAAACGGTAACTCAGTTTTTAAGAGAATGGAGCGCCCGATTTAAATATTCAAAAAAACATTTCACTTGTATTGACAAGATGAGAATCGATCAAATTTTCATAAAGGTAGGTCTAGCGGTTTCGGAGATATGGAGGAAAAAGTAAAAAAATGAGCCATTTGGCGGTCAAAAATGATCATTAGACATATGCACATCAAATTATCAGATATTTATAGAGATTTTAACATAAGTATACATTTTGTTAACATTCCTATGGGTTCCGTACCAATGCTTATGCGTTAGACAGCGACGCGGCGCTTACGCGCTTTATTTGTCCTTTGTCCCTATGCAGTTAAATCAGTACGATTGCTTTGAAAAAAAGTTCAAATCTTCCACAATATGTCAAAATAAAGAGAAAAATTTTTTTCAAAAAAAAAAAATTAAAAAAAAATTATTTTTTTAAAAAAAATTTTTTTTTCAAAAAAAAGTAATTTTTGGTCCATTATATAGTTTCTCAAAAATATTATTTTTTCAAAGTACATTTTTTTCAAAAACGTTAATCGTTTTTAAAAAATTAATAATATTTGGTACGGGAAGTTCCAGCAATTTGCCTTAAGGCACGATGCCTTAATTGCCTTAAGACAGAATTCCACTTACAGCTAGTTGTTTCTGTATTCGGCATTCTTCTTCAAATAGCAAAAAATAACACTGCCCAAAGCTACGTTACAGAATATAAACCAATGTTGCTAAATCTAAATATAATATGTAAGAGAATATATAAAAAAATCGCGTCTGTTTAGAGTTTCTATTATTGTAAGTGGTAAACAAAATTCGTCTAGCCATTCGTCAATCAATAGAGTCAGACGTCATTTACATATAAACAGATTCTAGATATAAAATCTGATTACAGTTTTTCTTTATTTTCAACATTTGCTATTTTCGTACTTATCTTCTTGCAAATACTGTTATTGCAATAAAATTGTAAATATTATTCTATCGCGGAAATTTATTGATATTATGCAAAGTAATATATATTAAATAAATGGTCATACATTAATATAGGCTTTTGGATGAAGGTTCACGATTAAATCTGATATAAAAAACTATTTTTATTCTAGAAAATGCAGTAGTATACTTTATACTTTAAAACAGTTTTTCAATATTAAATAATCCAAATGCCAAAAATTTAGAAATCAGGATATTTCGAAAGTTTAGTTTAGACATAGAGATTCTTTGACTACGTACTTGTATTTGCTATTTTCGATGAGCATTGACGACTAAATTTATAATATTTAAGTAAAAACACACCACAATTGCAAGATATAGAATTGGATTGGATAGAAAGATAAAACTGTGTAACTTGTCGCAAAACTGAACTATTAGTTCAACAAGTTACACTGTTTATATCATAAATTTAATCAACTCCCATTGAAAATAGCAAATTGGAGTATATAGGGCATACAATTTTCTATCTTATCAACCAAACAATTTAGTAAACTTACTAAAGTTAGTGGGGGTCGATCATACATTTGGTCGCGATTGAGGCACTCTAAATGGGTCAAAACGGAATTTTTGAAAAATCAACCCTTATCTTTGGGTCAATGCACGGGACATCAGAATTCATTTTAGAGGAATGGTTTGTTCAGCAATATATCTTATTTTGATTTCTGAATCCGAAAATCATATGTGATACGCGACTTTTAATAATTTTCTTTTTGTGAATAATAAAGTTTACTAACCTGTCTGTAATCATCTACATATGTGGAAGACCGCATGTAAACTTCTTGTATTCACCAAAAGAACCTGAAATATTTTATCTTGTTAAATTGTTGTCTTTCATAATAAGATTATATTACAATTTCTAGAACACATACGTCAGCCGCTGCCCTGCTGACAGTTCTCGAACCATTCCGCATAGAACCTGCTGCAGTAGCAATGAGTTGCTTGTCACTTGTTGGATTAACTGGAGCAATAATAGATTTGTTCTCTGCCCTGCCAGCTATGTTGTCCAGATTGGCATCACCACCTTGGCGTCTACTTGCTCGGAGTCTTTTGTACGAGAGCCCCGAATCTGGTAGTCCTGTACTTGCTATATTCGTTGCAGGTTAGACATATATCTTGAAACAGAAATTGAGAATATCAGAAAAGCACAAATTATAAAATAAAGTGTATTGAATTGAAAAATAGCTTTGTTGCACAGGTGAATAATAAGTCAGTAAATTTGTGTTCTTGAAACTGATGAAAATAAGTATTTCCCAAACAGTGAAACGTAACGAATTAGAATTTTTCAAATCCTCTAAGTCAACCTGAATATTTTGTGGATGTATGTGTTGTAAAATAAGGCACACTTTTCATATATCAAGTAGCTTTTTCATAATAAACCTATATAAATAATAATGATTCATAATACGATCTATACTGTTGAAAGCAAAAATTGCTTAAATTAGATAAATATTAACATGCTATCGTTTCAGGCTAGTACCTATGGAGAATTAATAGTAAATCAATGTATTACATCGAATCTAATATTAGAATATGAACAATTGTATATTAGAAAACTTGTTTTAGATGATGCGTTACAAAATTCAAATTTATTGAATACAGCAACTGTTAAACTAAATAAACACTCACCACTTTTATTTTATTTAAGTCTTAGTAATAAAATACAACAGTAATAAAATCTCCGTCCTTCTGTAAGCCAAAGTCCTACTTTTTCAAAATGCATTCTCCTGAGGTACAAAAGTTTAAAATGATCGTTACAAAACACCAAAATATTTCAATACAGCAATTGTTTAACAAAATACAATTGCACCATCTTTATTTTATTTAAGTCTTAGTAATAAAACCTCCGTCCTTCTGTAAGACGAAGTCCTGCTTTTCAAAAATGCATTTTCCTGAGGTATAAAAAAAACACCTGGAGTAAAAGCAATCTTGTCCTTCAGTAAGGTTTCCTTGAGACATGTTCCAGCTTTTCCAAAATGTATTTTCCTGAGGTACAAAAGAAAACACCTAGAGTAAAAGCAATCTTGTACTTCTGTAAGGTTTCCTTGAGACATGTTCCTGCTTTTCCAAAATGCATCTTCCTGAGGTACAAAATATAGCACCTGGAGTAAAAGCAATCTTGTCCTTCTGTAAGGTTTTCTTGAGATAAAGTCCTGCTTTTCCAAAATGCATTTTCCTGAGGTACAAACGAAAACACCATGGAGCAAAAGCAATCTTGATTAGATTTTTTAGTTATAGAAAAATCATCTCAGCCAATTTATTTAATAAATTTATTCAATTAAGCTTATGATACAATGTATCACCATGTAATGATAGCAATAAATTTTTAGTATCCTGAAACGATTATAAGTTCTGAGTTGGTGGTACGTTTGGTGATACAGTTTTAATACACATCACATACTTTGCAATAGTGTTTATTATTGTTATTTTCAGGAAGTCTATGTGCAATATTATCATTTGCTTTCCCAATCTACGTGCTGGTAAGGGTATCAGCAGCTGGAGTATTAATATCTGGAACGATATCAGCTTTAGAAGTATTATCAGCAGTACATAAGCTGGCGCATCCTAGTCCACAAGGTAAAATTAAAAATACAAATCTCATATAAATATCATAATAACAATATGAAAATGAATAGTTCATAATATTAATTTCTCTCAGTACTAAATGGTAATATTTTTATTATTATGGCAGATGAGCATGGCACATCCTACAGTTGCCTAAATCAGCCTAAACCATCTCAAGACAGGCGCGGACCTCTTTGGTTTCTTAGGCCGTCCGTATCTTGTCCAGCTTTTGGAACAAATATGAACAGAACGCATGAAAATAAAAGAGGTAATACATAAAAAATGTTAACTATAATTTTTGTCAACTATTGAAATTAAAATGAATATAATTTGGATTGAAACTTTGTTAAAATAATAAGGTAAAGAAAAGTCATCAAAATCCAAGAACTCATCGCATCGAATTCAGGTATCCATTGGTGCATATGACTGTGAATCGAAAATGAATTGCAGAATGAATAGAAATAAAAGAGGTAGAAGTTTAAATTTAAAAGGCCAGCAAAGGTTTGATGCAGTTTTGCAATTATCTAGCATATGAATAAGTTATATTTTTCTTTAGAGATATTATTTGAGATATATTATCTAAGAAAAAGAAATTAATATAAGCTTAGCATATTCACTTGTCTTACATTTAATTTATAATATTGAGTCTTAGACGATGGAAATCAGAATATAAATAGCATTGAGGCTATTCCGTTCACTTTGAGATATTTTCGTAGAAGTCCTAGTTTCGTAGAAGTCTTTTTTCGGTGTTAAATAAACATGTATGTCTATTTAACATGTATTTATGTCATACATGTTTATTTAACACATTGTAGGATACTTCTTTTTTCAAATTATAATAAATGATAATAGTTAATAATTTTAATTTATAAAAGTCAATATATAGAAAACAATAATAAAAAGGTTGCATTTTATAAATGCATAGTAATAGTAATTGTAATTTTATTTGAACCAAATCCATTTTATGGAATAGTATCTTACTAAATGGAATTAAACAAATGTGATACATATTGATTCTATAATTGAAGTGTATGCACTAATATAATAGTTTCAAATAAAGAAACTAGTGGTGTATGACATCGTGTCTTGAAGCAAGTTGATGGAACTTCCCGTACCGTAATGAAATATTCGAAGAATAATAAATGTTTTCAAATATATAATTATAAGCACTAAAACTTTCATTATTCGTATTTGATAGAGAATTTATATTATTATACTTTAGTTTATATAAGTTTACTTGAAAAGTAAATGAACAGAACTTAATGAAGGAAAGTTAGAATGAAGAATATTGTCTCATATTTCAAAGAAATAATAAACTGAATAGCAAAGTTAAAATTATATAAGTGATTTTTGAATGTTAGCTAGAATAAAAATTAAAATCCGACTTATTTTTGATATTTAAAAAAAAATTGGAAAAGAAAAAAAATGATTTTATTTTTCTTTCCATAAAAACAATCGTTTTGTCAATTCAAGTAAGAGGTTTTTTGAATCATTTAACTCGGATGCTTCCGTCTCTCAAAAAATACTATATTTTGCACATTTAGCTCCTTATCTCTAAAACGTTTGGACCTGTCTTTGCCAAAAACTAATCACTACTTCACCCCATCATTCCGAATTGAATAACAAATATTGTAATTCAAAAAATTAAAAAAAATACGAATTGAATGTTTAGAATCATTCAAATGAAATGCTCCGCGCTCTTAAAAACTTGATTGTCATTTTCTGCACTTGTCATTTTCCAAAAACTTATCAGTCTCTTTATCAATAGAAAACGAATGCTTTTTAAATAATTCAAATCGGTGTTCCAGAAAATGTGAACGAATTATATTCATACATACATATACACGCGAATACACACCCACAACCATTTTTCTAAGATATGCCAAAATGCTCAGGAACCTCTGAAACCTGAGGATATGCAAAAAAATTCATTTTCGATTTTTGAACGATTACTATAACTTACTATACGGAAAGTTAAAAATATTATAATTCATGAATGTAATGACCTATAGTAAATAAAGCTGTAATTACCCGCAATTTAGATATCCATTACTATTATCTAATAACTATTATAATAAATTATCATCAGAACGAGAACGAGAATGGTTGCTACTGGGCGAGCCGTCTTCCCCGCTAAGTCCGACTTGCCCGGAAAGTCCGAACCGAGACGCGCGTAGCCCCTTCTCGAGTCCGGAGCTTTTAGAATCGGCCTTGGTATCGGGGGCTGATCGGCACAGCGACTCCACAGATATAGATGCAGCCGTTGACGAATATAAACAGGATGTTTCAGTAAGTGTAGAATATACAATTAACTAGAACATGTGTCTAGAATCAGTAATGCAATACATCAAGTATATATCAGAGATCTTTCTGAAGTTTTAACCTACAGTTTGAATAATTTAAAGTTTAATAAAAGCACAAATCAAAAATAAACTAGTTGATTTGGTATTTAGCCTTGAGGCAAGTTACACGAACTTCCTGATATGTGTAAATAATTGACTTAATTAATAAAATATAAATTAATTTATGATTGATTAAAAGTAATTAAAATTGAACCAGTTTTTGTAGGAATTTAATAATTTAGTATGTTCATTGAGACTAAGTACTCTATCGTAATACCAAGTGAGTGAAACGTCTAATTTTAATTTTAACAAACGTCAAAAAAACTACTCATTTTCTCAAACTTTGATGATTTTTTAAAATTAAACTACTTGTCGTAAGGCAGTAATATTACAGTAAGTTCTATAAGACCATGATATATATCATGATATATATAAATTTAAAATCCAGTTCAAAAAATTTGATATATTTCGATAAGAACTCACAAATCTAATATATTGACTTCTTATATAATTAACTCTCTTATATACAGCTAGTCTATACATTAAATTGTACAAGTATGAGGGAATCATTGAGTACATAATTTATATTCTTTAATAACATTAATTATATTTATTGTGGTATTATTTGTATTCATTAATACTTACAGGTATTTATTATGATATAAAAGTACTCAAAATTTATTACAATACTTTATAGGACTTAACCTAATAACATGATAGATAACCTATTACCTATCTTACTATACTATATTATTGTATATCATAGATAGATATCTATTATCAATCATACCGTGAGATACCTATACCGTCATTAACTTATTGTATACCTACATACTCTTTTTACTTCTTATAAATATTACTGTCTAATTTATAGAAATACCTATATTATATAGGTTTACCTACGACCTATGTATTACTGTATACTATTGTATACTATATTATTGTATATCATGTATAGATATCTATTATCTATCATACCGTGAGATACCTATACCGTCATTAACTTATTATATACCTACATACCTTTTACTTCTTATAAATACTACTGTCTAATTTATATATTCACCTATATTATATAGGTTTACCTTACGCCCTATGTATTTTTTTTTAATATCTCTACCTATCTATTGTCTACACCGGGATTTGAACCCGAGACCTCCACGTGGCAGTCGCGCGTCTTAACCACTACCCTATCGGATACCCCCACCAATAATATAATATGGGACGCACTGTTGTTACCGCGGGTCATTTTCTAATTAATTAGATAATTAATACTAAGGTGGCGCGACGACACGCGAAAAAAGTCGGTTGATTGTAGCGTTACGGTGGTGTAGTGGATAAGGTCGCCGCGTGTCACGTGGCGGACCCGGTTTCGATTCTCGGTAGGGTTAATGTAGCGTGTAAAGGAAATTATAGGTAATAGGATATATAGTAGATATAGGTTAGGTGTATTCGGTATACAATGTAGGGATTTGAGAGTATGTGATAAAATATAGCGTATGGTATAGATGTAAAGCGTGTAGTATAGAATACAACCTATAGGCATACGTAAGGCTATAAAAATACAAGAGTAGGAACCTATGATGTAGGTGTTAGCGTATGATATATATAAGATATGAAATATATTAGAAATGCGAATGAACAAAAAATTCAATTTATAAATATTATTTTTTCTATAAGAATTTTTATCTCGGTATTTAATATCTAAAATATCCAAAATACCCGTTAAGGCATCGATTACACCTTACTGCTGCCGTTATCACTTCATAGAAAATTAATTACTGCACTTTTAAACGATTGTGTGCACTGTGCGACAATAGACATAGAACTATAAATTTTATTAAATGTTTGAGTAACTTGAGCGAGCTGATTTTCTTAAGATGTTCTTAGTCTCGAACCTTACTGAATTCTAAAAATTCTAAATTTAAAAATATAATATAAAAATTATTATACCGCTGTCTGGAAGGGATGGCAATTTATAAATATACAGACTAATACATACAGAATTTGGAATTTTTCTATAATCCGTAATAATAAGAAAGTTTGCATTAGACCTAAAAAGGAATGCTTATTTACCTAAGCTATGGAAATATATATGGAAATATTATATGAATCGCACATGCATCCTGTGCTCACTTAAACTAAACAATGATCATAATATATTTAACGAATTTTTAACAGTATTTACAAATTACATTCAAATCACCCAAAGCAAGTGGGTTAAAGTCGTGTAATTTTTTAATTTGCCTCCCCCATTTGAATTTAAAAAAAATGGATTTTTCTTTGGGGCGTGTGCCCCACGTTGGGAATTACTAGTCTAGGAGTACAATTTTTTAATCTACTACCAGGTTAATCAATAATTGAGTGATCACTAATTCCACAGCACCTTCATCAGATTTTTAAAAGATCAAAGTTTCTATGAATATGAATACAAATCTCAAATTGTAGGCCAAAATTTAGACAATAAGTTTATTGAAATATCAGGGTAACTTTTTTGCTATAAATTGTCAACTAATTTACCAATAAATAAATGTCAATAAAACAATGATTAAAAAAAATTACCAATAAATGTTGGATTGTAAAAATTTACAAGCCTTAGACGGCAAAAAATTCATCCAATTATTAAAATATTACATTTTTTGCAGTTCTTATGCTTTTGTATTTATAGAATTGCTTTTTTCGCTACAATCAATTTCCATTATATTTATATTTTTATTAATTATTTATTTTATTCGACTAACGCCCGCTATGTCCGAAACAAGGCCAACTTATATCCGAAATAATCGGGCATCAGCCATTTTTCGGTCTTAAAGTAACATATGTGAAATTTGAAATACACTACTGTATTGTAATTAATATTTCAGTTCATACACCTCAATTTGTAACTAAATTAAAAACGACTTTGATAAAACCAGTGGTGTTGTGCTAATATTTTTTGTGGGAACGCTAAAATTTAAAAACTGGTTCATAAACCGGTTCAAAAACCTGTTCTCATGTTTTTTCCGGTTCCGTTCGAAAAGAAAAGAAACAAAAATTATTACAAAACCCATTGTGTGCACATATATGTATGTTTATTTCAATAATAAGAACATTTAATAAAAATTAGTTGAATAATAAAATATAAAATTTACTTATTAAATCATTTTCTGTATGTAGCGATTTTTTTATATTTTTTCTTGCCGGAACGCGTTCCTTCCCAAAAATGATTTGCCGGAACGACGTTCCGGCGCGTTCCGGCTCGACAACACCACTGGCTAAAACGTAGACGAAAATTTTTTCACTTTTCTGCTATTTATAAAGAAACGTCTCGGCCGATCGTCCCACAAAACTGACAAATAGTAGTCCTCGTCGAGATACATCGAATGGCTTTTAAATTTTTGAAATCGGCCCAGCCGTCGATTTACGGCAAAAAAATCTGTTCACACACACACACACATACTTATTCCAAATTTGGTCTCATTCGATTCAGAATGGCTTGAAACGTCGAGAAAACATAAAATTAGCGAATCGGATTTTTTGATGAAAACATAAACTTCTCCTTCGGGAAGTTAAAAATAATAAAAAAATGTTTGGAATAAAAAAAAATTGTTTTTTGCTTTTCACAAAAACTGATCGTCGTATCTTCACAAGTTAAATGTTTTTTGAATCATTCGAATTGAATGCTTTGTTCTCTAAAAAACTGACAGTTTTTACACTTTTAGCCTATTATGTCTGAAATGGCTGGGCCTGTCTTTGCCAAAAACTAATTATCACGTCTTATCAATTATGTCTTTTTATCATTACGTTTGAATTGAATTTGAATTTAAATCATTCAAATCAGTTGAGCGGTGCTCCCGAAAACGTCGACAAAAAATTGTATCCACACATACATACACATACATTCATTTTTTCTGAGGTATGGTAAAATGCATAAAAACTTCTGAAACGTAAAAATATGCAAAAATTTAAACTACAAAAACTCGATTGAAAAATGATATTATAAATGAATAATATTGTTAATGATTAGAATTAATTAAATATTCTGAAATAATTCATTGTTGGTTTATCTGATTTCAGTTCAATCAATATTATCATTATTATGAAATGTGCTTCAATTAAGAAAATGTAAAAAAATTAAATTTGTTATTCACATCGGATTATTTTACATATTTACTACAAGTTTTTTCTTAAATCGATTGCATTTTTATAGATTTTGCAACCGATTGTCGAAACCAAAGCTCCTACAACAGCCACATGGAGAAGATCAGTAGTACTTATAACATGTGTAAGTTGTGTTAGTGCCATTTTTGCAACTGCAGTAATTCTGGAGATGACAGAAGCTGCAATCTCATTTTCTATAGGTGAGTATTAATAATAAATTTAACAATATTCGTTTCATATAAACCCCAATTATTTGCTATTGTTTTGCTCATATAAATTGACAAAGAGTCTGTATTTAATTTAAAGTAAATTTTCCCTCTAACATAATATAAGAACTTGTTTTTTTGCAGTATTGATATTTATAACTGGTCTATTTTGGTGGATTCCACGTCGTCCTTCTGAAGGTTTTGTAACATGTGCCGCAATTACAGTAATAATAATATCGATTTTGTTAATTGCTGAAATTATGCCAGATACTTGGCCTGCTATAACTATTTGGATTACTGCAGGTACTACTTATATAAATGACACAAAATGTGTAACAAACATTACAAAACATTTTTTAGACATATTAAATAATTATCAATTGAAATATGTTTAAAAATTACATTTCTGAAAAATTAAAAGTTATAGTAACAAATTGGAATTTTTATAACTCATATTGATAAATATTGAAGCAAAATTGACTACACATAGATATGTATATAGTTATAGCCTGTAGGCGAAGTTCGTGGCTGAAGTAAATAGCATAATCATATTACAATTTTGGGGTAATATCTAATATACAGTCAGTCAAGTAAGAGCGTGGCCGACTTTAACGACAGTTAATGAAAGATTTTGGTTTAATTCTTTCGTGAGCCGATAAAATGAAGCTTTGTACTTGATGCATTGTCTACAAAGGTTTAGTTGTCGTTGATCTTTTGAAAAAATCACGTTAAACGCCATGAGTGCTAAGTTTGTATAGAAATCGATACACCTATATAAAGTTGCTAAAAATGTCGATGATTTACCAGAACGTGGTTCAAATAAAAAATAAGAAAAAAGAACAGTGAATGTGTTTTTGCGGAAACCTGCTTTAACACTGCAGCAAGGACGAGCAAAATTAATGGCAAAATGTTTAGAAATATCTACAAAAATATCTACAAAACTATCTGAGCCTTTCTTCGTATTCATGATCTGAAATGACGCAACACAATGGGGAAGCCTCTGACAACTGAAAAACATTTGCTTCTTTTACATTTGGGCACATGAAAATATTGATAGAGATTTTGAAAATGTTATTTTTACTGATAAATGTTCTATATGAGCACGTACTGCCCTCATCGAGCAGTTAAATTAAAATACGAGCCGTCAGACTAGAATAATCCGTTAAATTAGTAAAAAGCATGCGTCGGAGATGCCAGCCAATTGTCGACTCCGGAGGTGACTGGACAGATATTGACAGAATTGCATCATTGCTTGTAATGCATACAATGCATATATAAATATGAAAGTTTCATAAATTATTTTTATAAATTAAAACGGCCACGCTCTTACTTGACCGACTGTACATAGATTTGTGTATGCATTTTCAAGACTTTTATCTGCATCTTGCATCGAGAAATAAGTTTCTTTAAATCAAGTTGTTACAATATATGATACAATATATTTATTAACTTTCCGCAGAGTAAGTTAATAATGATCGCAAAAAATCGAAAATATTTTTTTTTATATTTCTGAACATTTTGGCATACCTTATTGTTAAAGGTTTAGGAAGTTCAATAAAAAAAATAAAAAAAAAACATTTGGCGGACAAAAATGATCATTAGATATGCACAACAAATTATCACATATTTTATTAATAAGAAAATTTTTTTTTAACATTTTTATGGGTTCTGTGCTATTTTTTATCCGTTATCCTGCAACGCGGCGCTCATGCGCTTTGATATTTCGTTTTCACGCACCTAAACGATCGCAATTGTTTTGAAAAAAGTTCAAAATTCCCAACAATGTATGGAAAAAATTCTAATTTTTCTGCAAGATCAATTTTTTTCAAAAATTTTAAAAATCTCAGAAATCTTATTTTTTCAAAGTTTTAAAAAAATAATTTTTTTTAAAAAATATTTAAAAATTTTTGTACGGAAAGTTTCAGCACTTTGTTTGAAGGCACGATGCCATGCACCACTAATATTAAATTTATATTAAGTAAAACTTGAATGTGCATGTGACTATTAATTCCAATACTAACTGCATATTGTTTTAAGGTCTGATAATATTCGCAAGATTCGACATTTGCTGCAATTGTTCTGAAGAATTGAGAAGCTTCAAGATGCCGCGTCCGGCGCGGTTCGTGTCCACCCCGCGGTATAGGCACAGACGAAGCCCTGGGCCAAGCTGACCCGAGCCTTTGCTCGTAGATCAATACAGTAGTGATTCCGACACTTCGGATTAGAAATTAATTGGTTAATTATTTATTATTTACTGATTATTGATTAAATTTTGAAGGTAAATAGACACGATCAATTCTCTCTTTTAATTTGTTATGTTTAGAAAAAGTTAGGGTAGAGCGGGGGTAGTTGAACATAGGCGCAAGTTGAGCAATCGAAATATCTCGAAAACTATTCACCGTCCGTTTAGGCATTATATGGCGGAAAGATAGATGTTTGGGAGAAATAAACATCCCGCGATCGCTAGTGGCCGCTGGATAAATGAGTGAGGCTCACGGGCGTTTTGTTTATTTTGAGACCAAAAAGTAAAAAAAGTAATTCATCACGAGTTTTCGTCTGGTTTAGTCAAATATTATTTATTTTTAATCAGGTAAATGTTATTATTCCATATAATTATAGTACTTTTAATATGCACAGAGATTCTGTATATAATTCTCACGGTTTTTTTATAAACTCACTTTTATTTTGAAATTCCGAGTTGGGGTTAGTTGAGCATAGTTGCTAAACTTGTTCTGTCACTAAGACAATTACCATTAACTTACAGAAATTAATTATTATTTTTAAGATATAAGCTAAGTCTATGAGTAGTAATATAATATAAATAATATTTGCTTTGAATAATCGTTAATTATTCAAAGCAAATTACTATAAAACTGGTTATTAAAAACTTATTTTATTTCATCACTGATCGACATTGAACCTATGATTTCATTATACTTTCTTAGTGCTCAACTTGCTCCACCTATGGGGTACATTGAGCATACTTGACTTTTTGCATTTAAACAGCTGTAGCTTTTAAATTTTACTTATAACCAAAAAATAGTATTAACACTTTTGTTAAGCGATAAACAACAAATCCATTAAGCCGTATAACAATTTATTGAGACTTTTCATTGAGGAGCTACATCCGTTTAAGTAAAAATTTACTCAACTAGCCCCGTCCTAACCTATATATAGAAACAGTATCCAAACTTTTTAAACTAGACATTTACCTTAATTTTACATTTACTTAGTTCTTACGAGTTATATTAATTAATAAATAGTTACCGGCAAAAAAACAACAGACGAAGTGATGATAACAAATTTTCCAAACTATTCTTGTATATTATACAAACAACTTAGTAACTATTTACTAAAATAAAATTCAACAACAAAAGTTACTATATTTGAAAACCAAATATTTACTTACGCACGCATGTTTTGATGTTGTTAATTTAATAATCTACCAATTTATTATTACTAATACTGGTTTGAATGAGACAACACAATTATTTATTAAAAATATGCCTTTTCCACTTAATAAAATTTTAGTGTGGGGGGGGGCACAAAATTGAACTATGTTCAATTAATGCTTAATTATAGTAAGATATTTTATATATTATTTTTCTAAAATCTGATCGAACATTTAATTTTATATGTTAGAAGGATTTTATAAGATAATATCTACATTAGTTAAGACATATTTCGCTCTCTACTTAAAATAGTATCGTTAGAAAATTCTATACTTCACTTATTTTTAGATAATGGGAGTGGACTTTTTCACCCACAGACCTTTAAGCTCCGCTCCACTCTATATTGATTATTTGTTTTTGATATTAATTGATTCTGGAATTAATTTTTTAATATATTTTTTAACAACGGTATATAGTAATATTTTCTATTAGTTTGAAAATTTCTAGAATTATTTTTCCCATTTTCTGAATTTTAAAGAATTTCATATATACATGCAAAATTTCATACGACTTCTAATTGACTAATTGACTATTTGAGCGAAAATCATCAATTTGCAATTATCAACCAAAAATAGCATAAATGTTTGTTTTTAAAACAATTATTCTATTTATTTAAAATTTAGGCAAGATTTTAATATATAAACTCAGTAATAAATTGAAGAACATTCAAAACTTAAAAATGTTTTTGCAAAATATAAATGTTTGGAAATAGGTGTGTCGTGATAACTCTTAATATTAAGACAATTCTTGGTGTTAACAAAATGATCCAATTTTCAAAATCTAGCAGTATTATGGGCAATTTAAGTGATCATTGCCCTCAAAACTTTGGCAAATAATTTAAGTATTAATCTACTTCAAAATTATTAGTATTAATCTACTCAAAAGCAATTAGCATAACAATAAAAATAACCAATACTTTTTTATGATAAGATAATATTTTCATAAATTTTTATTCTAATTAGATTTTAATAAGCAATAACTTCTCGATATAAATATTTATAATTATAAGCGTTTACTATATATATAATATTTGCTCTATATATTTTTGAATATAATATTTTAGATAGTGTAGATTCATAACTTCAATTTCAATTTTAAAACAATATATAAAATTCAATTAATAACAAAGTACAATTATTTAATGAAATTAATGGTTAGTGATTACAGAAAATGTGCAGAAGATAATATTGTACTAGCATAAATTAATTTTTAAATCAAGATAATTTATGTTAATAAATATTTTATTTTTCTTAGAATTTAAGCTTGTTTACATTGCCTGCTTGACATATTTACATATGTGAACTTGATATTATAAAATTATTCGCGTTGCCTTCAGTGATACGCCTTATTTTAAATTAGGTTAAGTATTCTTTTCTTGATCTCTTTATATCATAAGCAAACATCAATTTTGAAAAATATTTTAAAAGTTAGTTTTAGAATTAGATTGCTACATGATAAAGAAATAAAAATTATATTTACTTAGCTGGGAGTTGTGACACTAATTAATTAATTTAAATACGACGTCATTCTAAATATTTATAACAAATTATTTAAATAAATTGTGTAAATTGAAAAACTGTTAATTAATTTATATTTTAAATATATTATATATTTAGTTTTGCAGAATACCTAAAATGGGTTCAATGACTGTTTATTGCTAGGTAGCTCAAATTTATTATTTTTTTATTACGAAATGGTATAAGGAAGCATTATATTTAAAATGTTTTTTTAAAGAGGTTGTCTGATACTTAGAATGCAAAGTATAAAGATATAACTCTTGAAAGGGTTTTGAATCGATTTGAATACAGTTAAATATAACAAATTATGATTGCTTCAATCAATAATTATTTCACAATTCTTCTTTTTTTAAATTATGGTTGCTTTAAAAATTTAGTTTTACATTTTAGAGGGAGAAATTTACAAATTTGGTGCATTTTTATAAAAAGTAAAAGAAATTGTGCATAATTAAATAGCTCGAAAAAATATTTATAATTATTGATCAATTGTTATTTATTAAATAAATAAACAATTTAACGATATTTAACCAATATAAAAAAAAATATTTTACAGAATGCAGTTACTTGCAACCGAATAAAAAAAACTTATTCATAGTATGTAGCTTATTAATAGTCAAAAATTAATTAGTCACTAGTAAATAATAAAGTATTTTTCTCTGATATATATTCTCGTTTTAATTATAAAGTAGAAAATTATAAATGAAATCTTATTC